AGGGAAGAACAGGAAATCAACCAAGGTAGCTGCGGCTAGAGAACTGCAAGTTATAAATCATCTTCCTAAATAGAAAGTAGTGCTGAAAACTGAAAAAGACAGGCATTCATTGCAGAGCAAGTGAAAAACGAGAGTTCTGTGTGAGCTTTACTAGGCAAAGCAAAACAGCAGTTTCCTGAGTATACTGTACTAACAGTGAGCAACATTACCCGAGTGCTACAAAACAACCAGAAAACATACCGAGCTCCAAAACCAACAGCCAACGTTTTACATCGTGCACAGAAAGCAACAGGGGGCCGCGTTTCACTTTTATGCCAACAAACGTTGCCCTGGGTAGAAGTTATGCAGAGCAGACTTACTATATTTCCAAAGTTCTGCCTACTGTATTTTAATTATTTTTTTCAAAAGACTGTATTTGACAAATGTAATCTATTCACAAGTTATTTCTTTACAAAGTCTTTATGAGAATTACCTTTGCCCTCCATTTATAAGAGAACAAAGTGCACGTGCTGGAGTCACATTATTAACCATAGCCTTCAGTGCTTTGTCTACCTCTTCCCTTATAAAAGTGTTGGATTCACCAGCTTTGTGCAAAAGGACTTTTACTGTATTATCTAGTTCTTGGTCCATGCTCTTTTTCAGGTAGGTGAACAAATCCCCTAAACACACCACAGCAGCTCGAGAAACACCTGAGCGTAAATTCTTGACCTGCACACAGGAAAAACCCAAACAAACAATGAATAATGTTTATAAAATATACTTTAAAATAAGTAAAGCTTAATGTTTCCCTCTGTAATTTTTAAGTAACATTAAAAGCAACTGACAAATACATTTCTAACTCGATTCACAATGTGTGAGAATTAAAATACATACACATGCCAAATGTTACAAAATTACAATCTGAAATTTTTCAATCTCTTAGCAAATCAGATCAAGTGTTGGTATCTGAAGTATGAGCTGCTTTGCTGAACGACAAGTTCATCCTTTTGAGACTGTCCAACAGAGGAAAACTAACCACAGATGAACATGTCATCTCACTTCAGTGTCTCTGAGAGCTATAAAATACATATATACATACATACAGTCAGTGAAATACTCTGAGAGTAAAATTTAACCTCTTGAGCCACAGCCAAACTTGTTTCATGTAGCTTTGCAGTCAGAACAGTTGCATGGTAGGCAGACAAACATCTAACAAAGTTCAGACCTTCGATTTTCTTCTCCCTGTGGAAAAAAAAAATACTTAAATTCTAAACAGTTGCAAATTTTCATAAAAACAGTAAAGTATAGAATTCTAAGAAACCAAATAGCAAACAAATTAGATTGTAAAATAAAGCCATGACATATAATGTAGGAAATTCTTTCAAAGGGAGTCTTTCTTTTAACGTGGAAGTAGGACTGGAGAAGAGAAGATTCCGAGGAGACCTTCTAGCAGCCTTCCAGTACTTAAAGGGGCTACAAGAAAGCTGAGGAGGGACTTTTTACAAGGGTGAGTAGTGACAGGACAAGGAGCAATGGATTTCAACTGAAGAGGAGAGATTTACATGAGGATCTAAGGAAGAAATTTTTCACTCAGAGGGTGGTGAGGCACTGGAACAGGTTGCCCAGAGAGCCTGTGGCTGCCCCATCCCTGGAAGTGTTCAAGGCCAGGTTGGATGAGGCTTTGGGCAACCTGGTGTAGTGGAGGGTGTCCCTGCCCATGGCAGGGGGGTTGGAACTAGATGATTTTTAAGGTCCCTTCCAACCCAAACCATTCTATGATTCTGTGATACTATATTTTAGCACACCAGTCTCTCAATTCTTTTGTACAGTTCTGTTCACAGCTTGCACCAGTCGCAATTAAAGGATTATTTTCCTTCCCCAAGTTGAAAAGGCAGCAGCACTGTGACCCCGTTTCACCAGTTGGAGCAGAGTGAAGCCTTCCATCCCACCGAAAGCGACAAGAAGGTATCGCTGGGGGCCCTCTCCAGAACAGTGCTGAGACACCTCCACAAGCCTCTGAACGCTTCGCTAGTAAGCTTCAATTTACAACAGTTACAGTTCAATCTAGATTTGGATTGAAAAAAAACCCTTTCTTCTTTTTTCTCATATATCACTTGCAATCTTTCTCACTATTTTTGATGTTATGTCGGCGAACTTGCTGAGGGTGCACTCTATGCCATTTTGCTGTTTTTTCTAAAGTTATCAAAATATACACTTTCTACATGACATTCTGGTTGTAGAGAGACGTTTACACCCACCAGTCATCATCAGCTAAAAAGGTCAAGGCTTCTGCCAGTGCCATTTCTGGTTTCAAAAAGGGCTGCAGTTCTGACGGGTCCATTATTTCTGGGCTATGAGTGACTGATGGGTTCCGGTCTTTATAGCGTCCTCGTGTCCCGAGAGGAATTTCATCTGCAAAATTGCAAAGCATAAGAAATAATCAGCCTAATCTGAAGAAAGAAATTCATTTACAGGAAGAAAATATGTAAAGTTTGAGGTACAGACTGCTGGTACTATAGGATTAGGTTTTCAAAAAGACAACTTTCCCAGTCACATCCTCAATCATTCGGCATTTCATTCACGTCAATGAATTTTTTTGCAAACAGCCACCACTTTAAAAAGTCGCAAACACAAATGTAGCAAGTTGTTTATACACAACGTGCTACAACAGAGTGCGGTAAGACACAACAGAGTAAAACTGAAAGAGCCACTTGAGAAAGACTTTTGACCATCACCAGTATGAGCTTCTATTCTGAAAAGATTCCTACTGCATCTTTTAGAGGCATCTCAGTGACAAAACGCACCCAAAAATGTTTTTCTTGGAGACAGAAGGGAGTCAATTTGCCATTAATACGTTACATCGTTTAAGTTGCTGAGCAAATAAAAAACCCTCTCATGTTTCAAACCTCTTCCCAACAAATTATGGATGAAAAATGTTTCAAGGGAGCAATGACAAATTCAAACCCCCTCCACCACCACCCCCAAAGTACTAATCTTCCAGAGCACTGCAGCACTGTCCATTGTACAAATAGATCATGTTAAATCTGATTATACTTTGGAACTGTCCCACTCCACGTAGCCAAATGTTTCAAGAGTCTTTAGTTTACTGTAACAGCTTACCAGAATCTAGCAAGGCTGGACATTTTGTTTTCTTCAAACTGGATGTTTTTAATGAGGGATTCGAGGCCATGTTTTCTAATGACAAAGATACATTTCTTGACAATGTTAATATATCCTCACAGAGATTTAACTCTAGAAAATAGAAGGAAATGTCCAAGCTACTACAACAACAACAAATTAGAAAAAAGGAGAAAAATAGTATTTCCAGTCCTGACTGTCTTTTGAATTTTTTCTTAACTACAAATATTTCCCACAAGCACATTAGTCTCCACCATGTGCATTATAAGACTGACAACAAATGACTACAGAGTAAACTGCAGTGTAAAATTAATTGTAGTAATACCTCATCTCCCACTAAACAGTCAAGATTTTTGGTAATTATCACAGAATTTTAATTTTCATTTCAGTTCCATTTAATAGTACATTATTCATTTCAGAGAAACACGAATTCTCACTTTCTGTTGTCGTTTTCTCTGGTTCATTCAGTTGAAGTCTTTCCCAAGGGTTTTCTCCTTTTTCTTCAAGGTCTTTGACTTCCTGATGTTCTTTATGAGCCTGTTCTTTTTCTTCTCTTTTCTTCCGCCTTATCTTATCCCGGGCAGATTTTGACATGGTAACTTTTATCTGCAGAGGATTAATGCACCATTATGATATGCAGTATAAAGTAATGCACAAGTCACCCAAGAACTTACTACTCAGTTCTTGATATTGTCTAAGGTAAGCATGGAAAATTACTATTCTCACCATTATTCTACAGAGCAAAAGGAAATTATTCATATAAATATAAATCCAGTCCTGAAAAGAGCCGACTGTGTGCTTTCTGCAAAAAGAAAGAGAAGTAACATTCCAGGTTTAAGCATTTAAGAGAAATAATTTATTCTAAAATATCTGAACAGTTAGAGAATTAAGGTCTGAAAAAAAGGTCTTCTATTTCTCTGACAGTGTTGTGTAGTTTCCTAGAATTTTAAGTAACAAATATACAGGCTACACTAACTCACTCACATTTAAGCACACACAGAGGTTTTTAAACAGTGGTCTTTAAATGATCTGACCCTTTTCTCTTGTGTGTTTAAGACAATTCTGGTTCCTCATGAAAGCTTAGTAACATTTAATACTTTCTGCCATTTTCTCCTTCTAATTTGATCCCTTCAACTATTCATACCTTCAGCGGAAATCAGAAAATTAAGACACTGTTTATCATTAACCAAAAGTTTCAGTCATCTTAAAATGTTATTTTAAACGCTTTCAGAAAGATTTGTGATTTTCGTTTCAAATCTTTTAGAACTTGTAACACCACAGCATTCAGTTAAATCCTGCTCCCTGTTACTACAGACGTAAATAGCATCTAACTAAGCAGCACCATTCCTCACGAAACCGTCCTATGGGACAGATATTTGGATGGTGTTTTGTAAAAAACTTAGGAATGGAGCTAGATTAACACATCCATCCGAAAACAAGACATGATCAAACCCAGCCAGTTCCTCCTTCCACATTTCTGTGTGCTGTGGGGATCGGAGAAGAGGACATTTTCCAGCTCTACTCCCTCCTGCAGCCCTTCTCCCAGAGACTTCCCATCGGGTGGGAAGCTTCTGACACAGCAATTACACAGCAATTCCCCAATTCCTAAGATTTTGGGAGATTGATCTTTCTCAGCTGCTCTTCCTTGTATAGAGTTACACGCTTTTGTGAGCAGGAGCCTGAGCCTCAGTGCCTAACACTACAACAGGTTTAGCTCAGACCATTAACCTACTGAGGTAGGTAGGAAATTACTTTTTTGCACTCATTGCATCCCCAGTAAATATACAGTTGCTTACACAAAGAACAAAAACTTCCATAACAGAGATAAAAAAGATATTTTAATTGTTAATCATTCATCCAGGATAGCAAAAATATGGTTCAGTGATCTTCTCTAATCCCAGCATTGCCTTGAAAACATGCCTTGGGATCAGCTGCTGAACTACTGGCAAATATTGGTGGATCTGTACGGTGCTTAAAGAGATGCTCATACCATATTTTTTTAATCTAAAATATCACAGGGCCAAAAAACACTTTATGCAGTCCTCTTAATTTGGTATCAACATATTGGTAACTGGTGCCACTTGTAATTGCCCGTGTGAGATGTGAACACAAGTTTCCTATGGACCATGCCCAGGAGACCAGATTTATTTCCTGTGTTGCTACCAATCAACACATGACACCACGGCCTTGTCTCAGTTAAGCTGCATGAACAACACACAACAAGTCACCTTACTGAGAAAACGTAACCCGTTTTTTTCATTTCATAGATTTCATAGATTTCATAGATTTCTAGGTTGGAAAAGACCTTAGAGATCATCGAGTCCAACCATCCCTAATCCCCATTAAACCATATCCTCAAGTAGCTCATCCACCCTATGACACTTTTATTTGACACTTGTTAAAAAAATAACACTGAGTTACAAGAAACTTCAGGTTTTGGCTTAACATAACATTCTGCAAACATTAGAGGAAAGCAACTGTGTTCTCGTTACTGTTTGCAGAACGGTTAGATCAGCAGTCAGAGCAAAAATTTGCATGCAGTCAACCAGATGCTGACAATTGTTAAGCCAGCTTTCATCTTCACCTTATGGTGTAACTCCATGAACAACGTAAATAAAAGGACTTGCACAACACTGCAAGTCCCCTGAGCTATGAATTAATGTATTTTAATTCATGTTTCGTTCATTCTTGTTTACCATAACACAGAGACTGCAAAACTGTATCCAGCTGTATTCATACATATAAAACCAGGAAGCAAGACAATGAAATGGCTCGGAAATTCTGACCTCTCTTTCATTTTCAACATGGAAATGAGAAGCACTGTTCTGCTGGATGCTTCTCTCGCAGATCCCTGCTGATGGCTCAGTCTCCTCTTCGACAGCCTGGTCATCTCCATTCGCTACGCACATTATGGGCTGGCTGTATGACTGTGCAGGAGGAGGACTTCCAAAAACACCTGAAAGGCATATCATGTTGTGTCCTCACCAAAAAAAAACATTTTATTCAGTGGAACTCAGTAAGAACTAAAGAAAACCAAAAGTAATTCAAGATGATAAAAACATTGATATTATACTATGAGTGCCAATTTCCACCCAAAAGTACTCCTACCTTACTCTACCGAGTAGGATGGATGCACGTAGAGGTGTGCACACTGGGCTAGAGCCAAGACCTAACCTTCTTAATCTGCTGCCATTCCATACTGTTGGAATGGAATAGCCAGTAACTGCAAAACTTCCAAGCATAATTCTTTTTATTCCTGTTTGGACTGGAGATTGTTCACAACCTAAAACGTTGTTAGGAGCCTACTCCTGCTTTCTCTGCTGTATAAAAGTACATTTTCCCTCCTATTGAAAACACAAGGAGTTATAGGAGATACTTTTTGGTTTGTAATACCTTTATCAAAAATTACAGCTGCACCTTCAGACAGGACACTTGGTGAAATGAAATCTCGATTGTTCATCTGTGGAAAACCAGATGTTGACTCTGAAGGACCTTAAAAAGCAAACAAACAAACAAAAAAATCACCCTATGTATCCTTGTTCCCCTTTTTAAAAATGGGGGAAAAATTCTTCTAAAAAATTCTTCTAAAACGTCATTATACACTGACATTTAAATTTATCACTTTGATTAATCAGTATATTTTCAAGTTATGGAAGTTAATGGGATTTACAAAATATCAATATCCTCAAAATCTTGGAAAGCATATACCAAATAAAATTTCTGCCAAAAGATCATAAAGAAAACCAATGTTTGTAAGGGGATTTTTAAATCAACTGATTCCATTGGAAAAAACAGAAGTTTCTAACTCACTCAGTGGAAGTACAGAACTGTTTCTTACATAATTCAGCACAAGGGAATCAAAACAGAATTTGCTAAAATATTTTTTCTCCCAAGCAGCACTTAACGCTGTTTCCCATATAAACTAGCAGTCCCTCAAATTCTTTCCCGAAGTGGATGACATGTATTATGTACTTCTATATCAGCTACACTAGTTGCAAATAAAAACTATACTTTGTGAGAAAGGAAGAGCACCATTCGCTTTTGCTATTTAACCTGAATAATCTGAAATTTCTAAACAGAAAAGATGATTTAGGAAAGCCTGATTATCTGCTAGAAAGTGCATAAATGAAGGCAGTGGACTACTAAGCCATCTCAGTTGAGAAATATTCTGGTAAACTCACAGCCCTATGTTTAAATCCATGGCTTCTGTAAAACCTGACAGCTGCAGGAAGGATCCAGTAGCCAGAACCTGCAGTAGCCCTTCAGTAGCCCAGCTGCAGCACCTCAGCAGTCTGGGACTCCTGACAGCTCTGGTACGCTTTCTGTCCCCACCTCAATCTTTAGTTTGCCAAAAATAACCACAGGCAAGAGTACGACAGATGCCTCTTTATAAATTACTCAATTACGTAGTTTTAATTTTGGAGCTCTCCTTTTTATGCTTTACAAGAAAAAAGATCAAGTGAAAAGGTTTCTCTCAAAAGTGTTACTTAGTCCTCCCACGAATCCAATCATTGGCTTCTGAATGTTGCAAGATTTAACATTTGAGAACTGCCAAAATCAGTCTTTTGGGATTTTCTCCAATATAATCTTGAGGCTTCATGAGCAATTACCTCCCAAATACTGGACTCTCTCTGGAACTTACCCCACCTCAGGACCTTCTGTCCTAACCTCAGCTTCCAGCCTGAAAAATTTACCAACTTCCACTTCACAGGGATCACCAGATAAGTAGATGTTACCAAAAAAAAGGTAAGATTTACAAATCTGATTAAAGATAAAAAAAAGTAAACTTTACTTCCATTGCTCAGTTTTAAATGTTTCACATAATACAGCACTCCAACATTTCTAGAAAACCTTGAGAATAGACAAAACTGTCCATGGTCAATGTAGAAACAAGAGTCAGAGAAAACAAAAAATCTTATTGGGACAAAGATCTTCATTATTCAATGTTTATTTCGTTTTCTATTTGTCACTAAAACATGATTACTTGATATCTCTTTAGCCACTGTGAGGGACATCTGAATGAGAGACAGCGAAACCATGTGCTCCTTAAACTGACTTCCACATTTGCCTTCTGATGTTCATTCAAACGACACAGTTAAAACTGAAATGTAAAGTATAATGATTTAAGGTCCTTAATTTTACCAAGGAACAACAGACTAAAACCAAACTCTTAAAGCTGTTCATTTTTTCAGACTGAGATATGTAACAATTTGGTTCTTTTTTCATGCCGTGTACTATCACTTGACTTTTAATTTTACTTTAATTGGCAGTCTAATTTCAGTTAATGTCAGAAAAATCCCCAACTTCTTAGTGAATGTATAAAGACCAGAAGAGAGGAAACCACATTAAACACCTTGAAATGTATTTTCTACAAAATCTGTTTTACAAACGGCTATACGTAGCCTCAGTTTTTGCCATAAAAGAGAGCTCAGATGAACAACAAACTCACAAACCTTTTGAATGTTTAAAATGCCTTTGGTGTTCGACATTTGGACTTTTAAAAACAGCACATGACACTTCTCCTTGCTTCTGCTCCTCATAATCTCCACATCCGTTGCCAAGGTTCGAACACCGGCCAACTACGCTGTTGGAAGTCCCCTTATCAAATGCTAGTCATGCAAAAGGAAAAAAATCAAATATTAAAAAAAAAAATCAGAAATAGTTTTTTCTGTGTACTACGGGATTCTCAGACAGTGACATTTTCAGAGGCCCTCAGACTGGTTTTATCCATACATTTCCAAGCATTTTTGCCTACAGAAATCTGAGCATTTCAAGAAAGATATGCAGGCTCTATTCATTTTTGACACGCGAAGGCTTTAATCTACAGATAAACCCAGTTGGAAATCTAACTCAAACCTTGAAAAATCATGTTTTAGTTTAAAGCCTTTCAAATACAAACAACTGAAGACTAAGTAATTTAGCATTAAAAGCCAAATTAAGTCATAAGCCAACTGAGTACAAATAGTAAACTACTAGCTAAAACCAAGACATTTACGTACCCTCGAAGTCACAAACCACGTTTTTATGTCACAGTTACAGATGGTAGAAACTGAGCATTCTAATGCCCATAAAACGTTCTCAATACATTCTAGTTTTGGTTAAAAACAAACCAAAACCAACGCGAATCACTTCAGGAATCCTTTAAAGGATCATTTTCCAAACGCTTCTAGAATTAAAATACCTAAAAAGACAGAAGGATTTTCGTAGATGTGCTTCTGCTACTTATTGCCCAAATTCATGGAACGAAACCCGCGTTTAACTGCAGGGACTGAGAGGCACGACCACAGTGCCCGGCTGATGGAACCGGGGTGATCTTATAGCAGCCTTCCAGTACCCAAAGGGGCTACAGGAAAGCTGGAGAGGGGCTTTTTACAAGGGCATGTAGTGATAGGACAAGGGACAATGGATTTAAACTGAAAGAGGGCAGATTTAGGTTAGATATAAGAAAGAAATTCTTTACATTGAGGGTGGTGAGGTACTGGAACAGGTTGCCCAGAGAAGTCTTGGATGACCCATCCCTGGAGGAGTTCAAGGCCAGGTTGGATGAGGCTTTGGGCAATCTGGTGTAGTGGAGGGTGTCCCTGCCCATGGCAGGGGGTTGGAAGTGGATGATCTCTGAGGTCCCTTCCAACCCAAACTGTTCTGTGATTGTAAGTCTGGTTGTTATCGCGTTTCATTTATCAACATTAAAGCCTCATGTGTCACTGATGCATTAATTACTGTACGTGGTACCACAGCACACTCTAGCCTCTGAAACTCTCAGGACCCCAGAGAAAGATGAGCTACAGGCCTGACAGCAAGCAGACAGGTTTTCAAGGTACCAACTATTAAAAGCTGCACAAACTTACATGCTACAAAAAGAATTTGGGAAGTAAGAAATGTCTGAGAGCTGACATTCTATTACAACACAGCTAAGAGAAGCTGATAAAATTCATCTTGGAGAAACAGCTGAAGCAATCTGAGCTCAATTAGCAAGTTAATGATAGGTAAGGGACAAATAAATTTCCAGAAAGAAAAGAGCAAAAGTGTTAAACTCTTAAAAAAAAAAAGGAAAAAACGGAAGGAGTAGCCAGAGAACAACTGACCCATTTGCTGGGCAATTCAGTTCCCAGGACTATATCAGGGCAAATAACGTATTTGGAAGCGTCCACCAGAAAACAGTATGATCACAAAAATCTGATCTCCTTTTATGACACAGCAACAGCCCTTGAGAGCAGGAAAGAAGTGAGAAATGTCGTACGTCACCCCAGGTATATGTACACAGAGTAGTTACCAAAAGCTTCCTTCTCCAAATGGAGGGGTGTATCAAACGTGGCTCTACTGCAGTCTGTTCAGGACCTGGTACTACCCAAGATTCTGCCCAAACAGCTGGATAATGAGGTGATATGCTGAATTCAAATAAAGGACAGCAAATGGGAAGCACACACACATGCTTGAGGACAGGATCTGAATTCAAAGAACTCATGATAAAGCAGAAGAATGATCCCAGAAGAACCAGTTTGCAATACAAAAGGAGAATGCACAAGACTCTACAGGTAGGACAGAGCTCATTTTGCATGTTTTACAACAATGCAATCCTAATTATCTACTCTAAGCTTTCTAGTCTCCCTGCAGAGGCACTTCCAGGGAGCAACTCTTCACAGATGAAAACAGATGTCTCACGTGAGTCAGACAAAACACCCTCTGCAGAAACCTCCCTCCCCTCTGATGACCAAGGAGGTTTTAGGCTAATAGCTGTAACAGATGTCTACACTTCAGGCCACTACAGATCGCCAAGGTGAATGCCAGCTATAGGCACAAACAATCAGTGATACAAAGACAAGGTGAGAAATAAGCAGCAAGAAGGCAAACCCACAGGGGTATGTAAACGGTTGCATAAGTACACGTAGCAATCCTACTCCTTCCAACTGTAAGTGCACAACGGGTATTGTACAGGCACTGCGTTTCAAGAAAGAGGCAGGTCTGTTGAAAACAGCCTAGATGACAGCAGTCAAAAAGTCCATAAAGTCTGACCTATGAAGGAAAGCTATAAAAAATGGGAGTTAGTCTAAAGGACAGAAACCAAAAGAAAGAAAAATATAAAAAAAGGTAGCTGCTTGGAAGAAGAAAATATTCCATCCTTAGATGTAAAATAAAAATGTAAAGCGATAAGTTACAGCAAGGAGGATTTATGCTCAGTGATAGAAAAAAACTTCCATCTGATGAGACCAGTTAAACACTAAACTGATTTTTACAAGTTCTCCAAGCTCTAGTGGAAAAATTCAGAGCTTTTTGAGATTTGACTCGTGTGACGGGCCAAGGCTGGTCAGCAGTGGGAGCAAAGGACTCTTCTTCAGCAGTTAGCTGCCCATGTATTACACCCACCTTATGGGCAGGAGGTTGTCAGCTCACCACAGGAGGTCCAGTGCTGGGCGTTCTGGCTGATTAACTGGCCCAGTAAGCAAAATAAATGTGCTGCTCTTTAGTCTGCACTGAAGGTCACACAGAAGGTCTTTTCATATAACGGATGCAAAATCATTAACCCCAGCATGTATGACTATGCACGTGCAGTATTTGCTTCCTGACTTACACTGTTACTTGACAAACCTACCTGCTAACTTATCCTGAGAAAATTAGCAGCCTTAGCTAAAACGAGGAGCAATAGCTCCAATTTCTGAAAAAAGATGATGAATCTCAGTAGCAACTCCTGTTTTTTTTTAATGTGATGGCTTTGCAAATTCAGGCCTGTAAGACACCCTCCAGTCTTAACTGAACTAAGCTTTGTAAACATTTTTGAAAAACCATGCAGCTGCTGAGGCTGTAAAGGGATGCAACAGAGCAGCCTTTGAGGAGAGAGGCCAGAAAAGACCGTTGTGGACACAGCTACGTCAGCTCCTTTCCTCCGTCCAGTTGAATCAAAATTGATTAAACAAAAACGATCATGAACAATTGGGTTTTGCCCATTAGAGAAATCTGCAGTTACCTGTACTTCACTGTAAGCGTAAAATAGAACAGCATCACTTTTTTTCACTTTCCTACCAGGAAAATAACTGCTTGCAACATTTTGACCCTTCCTGCTCTTACCCAGATGGTGTCGTATAAATTTCCACACAATAGTGCACTGAATTTTGGAGTGCATGTACTCACAGGTGGCATTTGCACCAACACATCTTATCCTGACATAGGAAGGGAAAAACCCTTGAGCTCCTTCTCACCTGCAGTACCACAGCATCATCTCGATTTGACCAAACAGTGTCTAGCAATTACCTTTTTTGAACTGCTGAAGAGACATGAGCTCATGGAAAAGTAATGAATTCCCATCAGTGAAGCAAGGTATACATTGATATATACAGCAAAATACCTGTGCTGGAGTTATGTTCTGCCACATTTGAGTCTCTGCTTCTTGCTGACGATACTCTTACAGGCTGTGATTTGCTGCCAAGTAGTGGAAAGGTGTCTGACCTGTTAAAATATAAACCAAATTTTCATAAATACAGTTCTACACACTAGTGAGAGCTCAGTCAATTAACACTTTGCAGCAAGGACATCAATAGATTTCTGCTTCTCCTCTCCAGTGTACTCAGTGGACAAATATTTCCCGTATACTTCCACAAATGTTCACATTGAGTAGAAAAAGAAAATGAATTCAATAGACATTACTTGATGAGCAGGTCCATTATGAAGAACACCATAAAGACGACTCTTAACGGTAAGCTTCACACTAGGACTAAATTTAGCATACATTCCAAAAGCTAAGGAATCGTTTGGCCTAGGGACAGACGATGCTGGGTCCAATTTGGCAAAGAATGGCAAATGACAGTGACAAAGTCCACTAACCTGTCACTTCCAGAAATGAGCTGCTTCCAGCTCAGTGCCTGTAACACAGACATTCCAGTAGAATGCTGTTATCTACGAGATGATCTCGATACTTCTTTTTGAAAATGATGCATTTGAGTATTAAAGATGCTTGAGCCCAGAGCCCTGTGCTGTTAAACACTGCACGTACCTACGTAACAGTCACAGGGAAACAGCAGCTGTTCCACTTTCTGCCAGGACTGAAACACACACAACTACAAGACTTGCTTGTAAGACCTTGAGGAACGCCCATGCTTCAGAAGCTTCACTAATACCAGTACCAAGCTCCCACTGCTCACAGTAGTTACCAGTGGATAAACTGATCCTTCCAAGAGGGAACACACAGAAGCAGCCTACGTTTTTGTTGCTCGACTACACAGATTTTGTGAACAGAAAATGCCGATTTCCAGTGCTTGCAAACCAGCATCTGAACTAACTCTCTGAAATTATCAACACCCCGAGGCTTTTAAGGTCTTCTGGGATCTATTCTGTCACTTCCACAAATTCAGTCCTCCTGCCAGATGTCCGCTCTCCTCCTTGCTAGTTCAGAATTCCTGTATCTGGGAACCCTGTAAAACATTAAGCTTGTGTGTCACTGAATAATGGAAACGGCATGTTGTATTGAACGAGCCCTAGTGAAAACCTTGCCTGGAAGAACATCATGCACAGAATTCTATAGTCTTTTCAAGTATTCTAGCATTTTTCACTTTAAAGATTATTTTTAAAACCGTGATTCAGCAGTAATGCATATAAGAAAGATAGGTACATATAAATTAGTTCTGAGACTTCAAAGCTGTGAAAAGCCTGATTCTGAATCATTCCAGTCTCCCTCTGCCTCAAAAACCTTTCTTTTGTACATTCCCTCCCTTCCTATTCTGTTACTACCATTGTATGTCACTTATATAAAGATGCATTTAGTAGACACGAAAATAAAAGGTATCCTCAGATCAGAGCTACAAGCAACTTCGGGCTCCGAGAGCAGAAAAGCAGAGTCTGTACTGCAAAAACTGCAAAATGCCTCAAAAACTTTTTGATTTCATTAAAAATAAAATAGTTTATACTGCTGATCATCAACTGGGTTGTTGCCTTTTACAACCAGAGTAGCATGTGTCACCACACCATTTTTTTTTAGGAGAGTCCTATGAAGGCACTTTAAATTAACAATAGTCTGTCAGTAACAAAATGGAAACAGTTCATGATTCGCAATAATAAGAAACATCTACATTGTCTTCCTCTTATTGCAAAAAACCAACCCATTCCTTCTTCAATTTCCAGGCCGTAATAAGAAAACCTTATCCTTCCTCTTAACTCATTCTCCTTCTTACTCATTTGTTTAGGCTGTGGTTCACATACCTTCCATGGCAGGCTAAAGTCTTAATGAAATATTTACTACCACTGGCAGTATTCACTGCACTGTGTTACTATGGCTGCAGCAAGGACCTCTTCGAATTAAAAGCCAGCAGAAACTAGGATTATACAATTGAGTAGCTGTATTTTTAGATAAGAATATAATTCACATATAAAAAACAAGCTATTAAGCAAAGCAATCTTGGATAAAAAACATATTACAGATTTCACCCCCTTTAATATTTAACTAACACCAGCAGAGACTGTGTGTGAGGATTTCAACGCAGGGTTTACACAGGAGTCCCACTCACGTTCCTCTCCTCCTGGGGGGCAGTGTGGACGTGGGTGAAGTCAGAGACTCCTGGCTGCAGGAGCCCGTGGACAGGTCGGGTGTAAGAGCAGAATCGGGGCTCTCCAGATCCGGAACGGTGCCGCTCAGCTTCGCCCTCTTCTTGGCCGCACTGTTCCGCAGCGACCGGAGAGAATTCTGCATCTGAGCAGGATGGAAAACAACACCACTTCAGGGGGTTTATTCACTGCATAGGAAAAAAGCTTTTTTAAGCAAGAGAAAGCATCTCTCTGTTCAGTGACGGGAGTTCGGCGCACGTGCCTCTGCTGGGCACTGGGACTGAGTATCTCCATGAGCTACGGAGTGTCGTAACGATCCCTTTCACTGTTCTGCTTCACAAGGATAATCAGGCTATTAATGCAAACTCCCACAGACATGGTATCCCAGCTTCGTTTTGCAAAACACAAGCACAGAGTCCTGCAAAAATACCTCTTATCTTTTTTAACAGACTAAAGAAAGTGTTTGATGGCTGCTCACACACACGACTGGGACCTCAGGCTTCTCATGTCTGACTGGCACAAAGATGCAAAACGCACAGAAGAGAATCCTCAAAACTGTGCCCAGCACATGGAGCTCCTACTCAAACGAGCAGGACAAGCTACAACGACTAGAGCTCTACTGCGTATTTTTTCCTCTTCATACTGAATGTATCTAATGTAAAAAAAATTATTCCTCTCTCTGTTTAGCACCTAAATTATTTTCAGTAGTGACTACAGGATGGAAGATAAAGAGAAAAAGGCAAAGCCCTAAGTCCTGCTGCAACTGCCCCCTGAATACACATAACTGGCCCAAATTATGGCTGGGGGGGCTCGGGGGGGACCCCCACCTGCCGAGCCCAAGGGCACACGTGTGTCACACCTAACCACGCTCATCCGGCTTCACAGCAGCTCTTCCCATTTTACTCCAGGAAAAGATGCCTGAATTCTGAGCGAGCTGGGACACGCTGCGAGGGTGCCAGGGACACACCTGGGAGCCGAGGGAACTCCTGGGCTGAGCCAAACGAACCTCTATCAAGGACGTTATTCGTTATTTCGGGCCTTTTGCGATAACTGAAGAGAGGATTGTTACTTAAATCTGGCACGAAATTTGAAACGAAGCCAAGATAACGAGAACAGAAGCTGTACAAAGGCCCACAGTTGTGCCTTGGGACGTCAATAACGGAAAACATTATGACTTTGGCTCTGAGAAAAACAAGGGAAATTAAGATGTCTGGAACAAACACGGGCAGTGGTATTTACTGCTTTAGTCAGCTTCTATCAGACATCCAACGGGATCCGAGTGAAAACCTGCTGTGCTGATGACAGTGTCAAAAAATTTCAGTCAGAAACATTATTTTCTGTCTCTTGTTTGGAAAAAAAAAAAAGCTTACAAGATATCAACTGTTAAAAGCACATTATGTCAAATTTAAACCAACCTCTTCTTGGTCCACTTCCTCGTCATCGACACCGAGCTCTGAAAGATCAGCTGCAAGCTTCCTCCCCACTTCATCCAGCCACACGTCCTCACACTCCTCATTTCTCCACTTTGTCCCGTTTAGCTCAGTCCTGTCGGGCAGCGGGCTGGCGAGGCGGGGAATGGGGGGCACGGGTCTGGTCCCAGCCAGGTCCCTGCGGGAGGCTGGGTGTCTCACCAGCGTGGGCTTCAGCTGCAGAGGAGAATGCTTCTCCTGCAAGTTCTCCCCTGGAGAAGACACAGGCAGATGTCAGTCCTCCGGAGGGGGGGCAGCAACACAGCACTCACCAGCATAAACTTCATGTCTCGTTTCTATATCGCACCAGAAAACTCCTTTTACGACGAGGTGAGTGCTGAAAAACATACTGAAGCATGCAATTTTATTTACTATTACAAATACATTTCAAGGGCGTTTTGTTTGGCCGAGTATGAGCAAATTTGAACAAAATAAGAACATGAAACAGTCATAGCGAGCCGGACGAAAGGCCCATCCTTCAACCAAGGCTGAGGAGTGTTCCGATCGGATTTAGAAACTTCCTCCAGGTCCGACCCGAGCTGACCCATCATCTTGGCACACACATCCACTTCCTTTATCAATAAATTCCTGCTTTTGGCGTCTTCAGCAGCCTGCAGCAGTTGGCTCCACAAGGAGCATTAAAAAAGTTCTGCCTTTTATTTAAATCCGATGTCAGCCCACCGCTTCCCCAGCTCCTTCAGGTGTGCAGGTATCCACGTGTGTAAACACACACACACAAAGTTTCTCACATGATCAAGAGTACATAGTGATTCCCTATCTAACTTACATTTTTATACCATTCATAATGCAAAAAACTTTCAATATTCCTCCTCCAACATCAATTTTCCAAATGTGCCCAACTCCCATTCCTGAATACTTTACTTACACACACTTTTCAAGATTTAGTTCTACAAAGTCAGTGGGATCATTACCAGACTTGCCTCGCTGCATGGTGTTTTCTAGTACCTCCTGACTCCACCTTTTCCACCTCCCTGCATTTCTAGCTCAGTTCCCAATCTCTTCTACTTTTAGTGCCTCTGTCTTTCAAAAAAATTAGTGTTTCGTGCATGTGCACACCAACATGTGCTTAGTACCTTTAAAAATTAATTAACTTTCTTAATTTAGAAAAAAGACAACTACTGCCCTAACAAACTCTCCTGTAAGCTGCTGTAAAAACAATAAAGTTATCTAAAGAAACAGAAAAAAATTAAATGCACATGGATGATACACAGAAAATCAGCAAGTGATGAACACACATCTACAAGATGAAGTTACATGCATTCCAGGGACGAGTGACTTCCAAAGAATTCATTTAGAAATTTTCTACATATGCAGAAAAATATGAGTCTCAACAAAGATGAAATTTAAAACAGATCTCTTCAAACCAGTGCAAAATTTTACGTGGAAGCTGTTACATTGCTTTACAGAAGGTATGCCTCACAAGTGACTAAGAATCAATTTAAGCTAAACAGACACTAAAGCTATTTTTAACCCAAAACAAGATCGCCTTCAGTAAGTATTTGAAATAAATCAGCTAAATTGTCTAAGCAACTGTAATTAAACGAACACAAAACTCTTTCGGGTTAATTGATGTGTGCAAATCAGCCCACAAATCGCAGTCCCTGCTGTCTGTAACCAGGTTTTACAGAGCTATTGTGAGCAGGGGAAATTCCATACAAAAGTTTCCTCAGGCAAAGAAAGAGGCAAAGAGTTGAAACGCAAGGAATCATTTTTTCTTGCACATGTATTAATTATGGTTTTAAAAGTAAGAGTTATTTCTGTATCAGCTTTCTTTAAAAGCGCTAGGTTTTGGGGTTTGGGTGTATTTCATAGAATCATAGAATCGTTAGGGCTAGAAGGGACCTTCAAAGGTCATCTAGTCCAACCCCCCTGCAAGGAACAGGGATATCTCCAACTAGATCAGGTTGCTCAGGGCTTCATGCAACCTGGCCTTGAACGTCTCCAGGGATGGAGCATCCACCACCTCTCTGGGCAACCTGTTCCAGTGTTCTACAACTCTCATGGTAAAAAATTTTTTCCTAATATCCAATCTGAATCTACCTCCCTCTATTTTAAAACCATTACCCCTTGTCCTATCACAACTGGCCCTCCTGAACAGCCTCTCCCCATCTTTCTTGTAGGCCCCCTTGAGGTACTGGAAGACCGCTATAAGGTCACCCCAGAGCCTCCTCTTCTCCAGGCTGAACAGCCCCAACTCTTTCAGCCTGTCCTCATAGGAAAGGTGCTCCAGCCCTCTTATCATCTTCGTGGCCCTCCTCTGGACCCTCTCCAACTGGTCCATGTCCTTCTTATGTTGGGGACTCCAGAACTGGACGCAATACTCCAAGTGAGGTCGTTTGAAGGTAAACTTTTCACTGACACATCACTGAGGAGGAAAGCAGAGCTGGTGCATAGGATGCTTTATCTCACATATTTAAAAGACAAAAGGGACAAAACATGCCAGCATTTAAAACTACCAAAATAAAAGACTTCACTTCTAAAAAGAAGGCTCCTTTAGTGCGACCAGGCTAGTGAAGCTACAAAATTTTCACATTTCTAACTGCATTTGGGGCGTTGCACAATTCCCCATTTTCCCACCGCTGCAGGTTTTCTGACAACTGCTTGAAGTCACTCAAAACGCAAACCCGAAACCCATTTTCATCACATTGACAACGGTCCTACCTGTGCTGTCTCCTGACTTTTGACCGAGAAGCTGCTTCCGTGAGCTCGGCTTAGGCAGTCCTTCGAAGCTTTTGAGAGGCCAGGAGTTTGAGAAGTTCATGGTATTATCTCGTGACTTCTTTGGAGAGTCAGCTGCAGAGGAGACGTGCTTGGGGCTGTTCCTGGGCGATGGCAGAGGGTAGGACGGCAGAATGAAGGTGCCCTGGCTTGCACTGGGACCTTGGAAGGACATCGTATGCTCTGCTTGACTGCAAAAACTTCTCTGCGTCTTGCTGGAAAAATTTAGGCTGGCACCAACTGAGCAAAGAAGAAGAGAATAGTATTTGTGGTAATTAGCCTCTTTGGCAGCTCTTACAATAATAATTTACGACGAAATAATACACCATCTAGACAGTCAGCATCTTACCCAAGCAAACAGACAAATCAGCTAACTTTGTCTTGCAAATTGCATTGTCTCTTGAAATATCAATTTCCTTTCCTGCATTTGATGAAATGAGTTTAAGCCTAAGCTATTTTGCAATAATGTTTTGAAGAATTATATTTAAAAAAAAAAGAATGATGCAAATGGATTGAACATGGTTCTGTCGTTTGCTGCTCCGTATTTTGAGCCTGCATGGCAAACAGGCCAGTCGGTCTCACCCCTGTGCCTGGCAAGATCATGGAGCAGATCCTCCTGGCGACTATGCTAAGGCACATAGAAAATAAGGAGGTGACTGGTGACAGCCTGCATGGCTTCACTAAGGGCAAATCCTGCCTGACTAATTTGGTGGCCTTCTATGTTGAAGTTACAGCACTGATGGATAGGGGAAGAGCAACTGACATCGTCTACCTGGACTTATCCAAAGCATTTGATACTGTCCCACACGACATCCTTATCTCTAAACTGGAAAGACGTGGTTTTGATGGATGGACCATTCGGTGGATAAGGAATTGGCTGGATGGTCGCACTCAAAGAGTTGTGGTCAACGGTTCAATATCCACGTGGAGGCCAGTGACAAGTGGTGTTCCTCAGGGGTCGGTACAGGGACCAGTGCTATTTAACATCTTTGTTGGAGACATGGACAGTGGGATCGAGTGCACCCTCAGCAAGTTTGCAGATGACACCAACTGTGTGGTGTTGTGGACATGCTGGAGGGAAGGGATGCCATCCAGAGGGACCTTGACAGGCTGGAGAGGTGGGCCTGCGAGAACCTCATGAAGTTCAACAAGGCCAAGTGCAAGGTCCTGCACGTGGGTCGGGGCAATCCCAAGCACAAAAACAGGCTGGGTGGGGAAAGGATTGGGAGCAGCCCTGAGGAGAAGGACTTGGGAGTGCTGGTGGATGAGAAGCTCAACATGAGCCAGCACCGTGCGCTGGCAGCCCAGAAAGCCAACCGTGTCCTGGGCTGCATCAAAAGCAGCATGGCCAGCAGGGCGAGGGAGGGGATTCTGCCCCTCTGCTCTGCTCTCCTGAGACCACACCTGGAATACTGCGTTCAGCTCTGGAGTCTCCAACACAAGGACAAGGAGCTGCTGGAGCGAGTCCAGAGGAGGCCATGGAGATGCTCCGAGGACCGCAGCACCTCTGCTATGGAGACAGGCTGAGAGAGGTGGGGCTGTTCAGCCTGGAGAAGAGAAGGCTCCAGGGAGATCTTCCAGCACCTTCCAGTGCCTAAAGGGGCTACAAGAAAGCTGGAGAGGGCCGTTGGTCAAGGGTATGTAGTGATAGGACAAGGGGCAATGGATTTAAACTGAAGAGATTTAGACTAGATCTAAGGAAGAAATTCTTCCCTCTGAGGTGGTGAGGCAGTGGAACAGGTTGCCCAGAGAAGCTGTGGCTGCCCCATCCCTGGAAGTGTTCAAAGCCAGGTTGGATGAGGCTTTGAGCAACCTGGTGTAGTGGAGGGTGTCCCTGCCCATGGCAGGGGGGTTGGAACTGGGTGATCTTTGAGGTCCCTTCCAACCCAAACCATTGTATGATTCCATAATTCTATGATCTGGCACAAAAACTGTTTGCAGAGAAATAAATCAGCAAGTGTGAGCAAAGTTCCTGACAGCCTTCTGAAGACCGAGGCTAAGAGAAGACAACATTGACTTTCTAGTTAGCGAGGCAAAAAAAAAAGAGGAAATTTCTCCTTTCTTCCCATAGGCATGAGAAAAACACAGTATCTAGAGCCAATAGGTGGTGAGAAGCAAACAAAGTTCCTACACATCTTCCAAAGCAGCTATCAGCTCTATCCCTTGTCCAACACACCTGGACCACTCAAAGCAGCTCCGTCCGCAGATCTGGTATCGTTACCATCCGTTCCTCCAGACAGTGAGTTCATTCCTTCACTAAGTGTACATCTGGCATTTTAGTAGTAGTAGTACTGATGAACAGACAAGTTTATACATGTTACATGTCCTGCTTTATCTCAGCCTTCAGCTCCAGGGTTAGGGTGCTCTCAACCAAATCCCTAGCCTCGCTTCTGAAACTAGCAGCCACAGCTGCCTGATGTGGCAGCGCCCTGGCTATCCGTCCAGTAAAAGCTGTACAGAGACTACCACGATTAAAGCAATGATATGAGAATTAAAAGCTTTACGTGCACCAGCACAGCATTTCTGCAGCACACCGAGGGCACTTCCACCCACTGTGCTCAGCACAAAGGAGCAGCCTGTGCCTCATCCTGCCCAGCTCCTGCCGAGACCCTTCAGCTGCCTCCACACCTCGGAGGGGACCCAAAAGAGGTCCCTTAACCAGTTTCGGAGGG